CGAACTATTTCTTAATAATTTCCTGTACATAGTAAATTATGGATATCATCTTATTACTTAAACAAAAATTCAACATAGCGAGGGATTCATATAAATTTAATATATTTTATGGAAAATAAATGCACGCAGGTTTAGAAACACGTACATGTCACTGCGTATGCAATGCTTTGAAGTCACAAACATGACGCCGCTTGTTCGGCGGAGTTTCATTCCCCGATAGTGGAGGAAACAAGGAGTTAGAATAGAAGGGGGAGGGTTCGCAGTTTCCTCTACTATCGGGGAATGAACTCCGCCGAACAAGCGGCGTCCATTTTGGACTTCAAAACATTGCATTACGGCAGTGACAGTACGTGTTTCTAGCTGTTGCGTGCATTTATTTTCAGTAAAGATATGTTAAATTTATAATGAAATCCCTCGCTATTGTTGAAATTTTGTTTAAAGTAATAAGATGATATTCATAATTACTATGTACAGCAATTATTAAGAAATAGTTCGAAATCTAAATGCATGCGCAAACATTAAAGCTTTAAAAATGATGTTTGCATATTTCACGAATTTGCTTAGGTTAGAAAATAAATCTTAATAAAATAAAACAGATTTATGGAATTCATTGATTTCAGTTTATGCGCATTTCATATTATTATCTCAAAGAAACTGCCTTTAATTAAGATGAATACAGAAAAAACCATATAAGTTTTGGATACATCTTCCACAGGTTCAATTGTGTAAAAATTTTACTTAATTTTATCTACACTGCGCAGAAATTGTAAGTTTATACAAAAAATTTTTAACAACAGAACAGTTTATCTTAACTAAAAAAAAAATGAATAATAATATATAAAGGAAGCCTTGCTTTATTTAAAACCTTTACAATTAATAAAATAGTAACAACTGATTTTACTTTTCATGAAAGTTTATAAAACGAATTTACTAAAACGTCAAATTATACAATTTAAATCCTACCATATAGCATTGTATCTTAAGTAACGAAGATACCAGCTATAAACAGAAACATTGAAATGTATTTAACATATTTTGATTATAGTTATATTACGTAACCTATTTTGATTATTTAAGTCCCTTTTTTTTCACATCTGGAAAGAAAACAACATGACGTGATATTTTTTGACATAGTTGTCGTATTACATAAAAAAAGAAAATCAATACTTACGTGTGAAAAATAACGCCCAGAATTTTTTTCGAGAATCTATTTGTGCACCCATATGCAACACAAGCTGACATGCTTCAAAAAGAAAAGAAAAAAAATGTGCAATGACAGACTTCCTTGCACAAGTCAGGGGATAACAGAAGATGGCGCCAGCTTCCGTTTGAGTTGAACCTTCCCTCCTTCTATTCTAACCTCCGGGAGGAAACCGCGAACCCTCCCTCCTCCTTGCTAGTCATGGTTATCAGTACATCAGGTTACAGTTGAATTGCAGTTTAAAAAACACAAGAAAAATAGAACTTAGGCAATCAATAACAATAACAAAAATTACAAAAAACACTTTAAAATCAGTTTCAATATCTACGATCAACATATTTTCCTTTCTAATTAATCACTTTTATAATTTATTATTATTATTTCCCACAATTTCATGCTAGCGGGCAAACCATATTCAAAACTGTGAACAGACTGCTTCCTGCATAGTGTAGCCATCTGGTGGTGAGATAGTAAAGTGAATGTTGCTCTAACAATATCCTGTAACTATGTAAAATACTTGATTCTGAAGTTACGAAAATAATAAAAGATAACATTTTATTAATTTTTAAAAATAGAATTATATTGTTTTTTATCATAGGTGATTTTAATTGTACATTATTTTTCTATTTAAAAAAATCAGTTAAAAATATATATTATTTACATAATGATGTGCGCAATATACTGTAATAGTATTATATGGATGACAAAAATGATATTTATTGAAATATATTTATATTGGACTAATATTAATATTTGGACTAATATTGAAATAACGTATTGGAAAATTAAATATTCAATTACGTTTTTAAGAATATCGAAATAAGTATACAAAATTTCACGTCCCTAAACAAGTTATAAAGGTACTGAGCTTTAAAATGCGTTGTATTTAGGAGATATTTTGATATTTTTAGGTACCTCACTCCTTTATTTATCATTGTTTACATGTTAACACATGCATAATATTTTGTTAAATTCTATATTTGTACAGTTCAGTAGCTCAAAATTTTGCGAAGCAAATGAATAATACATGTAGTTATTCCAAATTACTGAAAGATAAACAAGAAGATTTGTTTTTGTGCGAATCTTTCACTAAACTATACAAACTACCAATACCGATTCAGCTATGAGCGTGTTTTTTTTTTTTTTTTTTTTTTTTGTGCGCAGGTGTCCCTACTTTTGTATTTGAGTGTAAGTGCCAGCAATGGAAAATCTTCGAAAAGGGCTATGAGAAGATCGAGAGGCTCCTGGAACAGTCTGCCTCAAAATTGAGTAAGAAGTGATAGTGGGACGGGACTGTACCTATTCGACCAATGGTGAAAAAATGGTGAAATTTTGGTGTTCGACTCACCTCTACCTGTGAATAAATGACAGACACCTTGAGAGCTGCAGTAGTTAGTTATGTTAGCTTCCGTACTGTTGTACCGAGTTCGAATCTCGGAGTAGGTCTTGAATATTTATGAGGGCTTAGTATCTGTTCGGCGTAAAGACATTTAAAGTGCTGGAGAGCTAAAGGTCCTCCTGAGAAGCTTCGGTGGAAGAAAGAGGCGATATCCTCGGGTCGTCTCTTGGAGTGTTCTCCACCAAAATGATCAATCAGAATTAGGATAGTAACTATACTTGTAAGAGTATAGGTAAAATTCTGGTATCCTGCCAACTCCTTTCCTGCTTTGTTTTGTTAATATCGGGCATAAAACCCTTTTCTGATGAGATGAATTTATTATTTTCCCCCACTTTTGTATTTTTCTTTGACTGTTGTAGGAGAAATCGAAATCAATCATCCGGATTACTGCGCATCATTACTCAGCCTTCTGGACAGTATCCTCTGTGGTCGGCGGTACTGGCCTCCTTTTTGTCGATTGCATAAGTTAATCCTGTGCAGCCATATTCGAAGTGCTGGCACAATTTGTCTGTAGCTGAACGCAACGTTGCATATACCCCGTGCAATTTAAGTAATCTGAAGATGAATCTCGAAACAAGTGAGGAACAACGGAATCTCTCGCCTTAATTAATTTTATGGGGAATCTTGGAACAACTGTAATACTTTTCCAACACAAATTTTACTGCTTCTCTTATTTGAAACCTGGACTCTTCTGAATGATGAATACCTCTTCTCAAAGATTAAGTTCAATAACATACCTTCACTTAGAGATGTGAGCGAAATGAAGACACAACTGATTTCGTGATGAATCTCGGAATAACTGAAATACGTTTCCAGCAAAAATCTTACTTTTCCTCTTATTTGAAACCTGGACTCTTCTCGAAGATAAAAACCTCTTTTCAAAGATGAAGTTCAATGACATAACGTAACTTAGAGAAGCGGGCGAGATGAAGACAGACACAGGCGCATTTAATTTTCAGATGACGAAGTAACCTTGGAACAGATTCTGAATCGGTAAAGTCATACGCTCCAAAGATTTCTGGTCGGGAACAGCAAATCTTGTAGTACAGCTATCTGGGATCAGGGTACAGCTATTTTGAGTCAGGCATGTCGGCATCAATCAAGCATGGTACAGCTATCTTTAATCAGGCATGTGGGCAATCAGCTAGCACGAGAGGTTGCAAACAGTATTTTAACATAAAATATTTCTTTGCCCAATCCAATTTCTTACTTAAACTCTCGTTTAGAAAAAGGTCTTATGTTACAATGGAACATTTTATGGTCACAAGAAATCACTGGAAGAAGATCATTTACCTTCTTACCCATCCCCTCACGTAAATTAGTTTCTACAAATAGTGCAGTGACATAACTTCTGACAGCTCAGATACATTTTGTGGCCTACTTATTGCGTTTTGAGCTACATAACACAGATAGTTGCATTTGTGATTTACCTCATACATTAGACCACTACTTGTTTCAGTGTCAAATAACCAAAGATCTAAATTTTTGGCCCTATACAACAAACAATGCTCGTGAATGGTTTCAGCAGATTCTCAGGAATTCTCAGATTCTCTTTTCACCGGAAGCTTCAGGCTCTAAGAACCTATCTTATTATAAACAGTGACAATCACAAAGCAATATAATTCTTATTTGTATTTATAATTTTTTACCTATTCATATTATTAACTTAAGCAGCGGTCACAAAAGTAATTTATATTCGTAAATATATTAGTTTTACTTTTGTAATATTATTTTATTACTTGTTTTAAATAAAAGCCGTTAAATGAGCAGAAAAAGCTAAACGCATTTTTCCGAACTTGAATCAGGAAAAGGAGTTCTGTTATTTTAAATCATCCCTATCTTAAGCACGTGCCTTATAGTGGTAGTGTTTGAAATTTTATTTGTATAGGTTAGGCGGGTAGGGTGTTGGGGAATCATTTGTCGAGAAAGTTTTTTTCATGATCGTTTCATAGAGAAAAAAAATATATACTCTGTATAACATAAACTCTGTATTTCAAACCACACTGAAACTAATATCGTATACTTCCACACTACTATAAATTGCCTATGAATTAAATTCATAGATGAAATCGTTAAAAGCAAAACAACGGGGAGAACTGAACAATCTTTAGGAACTAAACAATACCTATCAGTAAGGTATTCTATTTTCGTTTATCATTTAGAAGGTCCTCCACGAAGCCGTTCTTTTCCTTAAGCAGATAGCTGTTGTGTGAATTTCCATGTCAATTTTTCTGAGTTTTAGAGATCGATATTAAACTAGGAATAAGAAATTCTAAAAGATTCTGTAGAATTCGGAATTCTGTTCTGTAGAATGCGGATTTCCTTGACTTGTGTACTTATGCAGAAAACTGTTCAAACAGATTTTTGAGACATCGATCACTTCATTTTTTTTTCTAACAGAGAAAACGTCTTGTCCTGATCCTGGAGTATCCGTCGATGGTGCAAGGAAAGGAAGTTGTTGTTTAGTCGGAGATGTTGTCACGTATTCCTGTAAGAAAGGTTTTGAATTAGTTGGGACAGATACTCTCGCTTGTTTGACCACTGGAAACTGGAGTTCACCAAGACCACTCTGTCGTCGTAAGTGTTTCTCTTTGTTTCTGAAATGATTTTCTATAATTTATATGAACACATATAATAAAAGAACATATAATCTCTACATATAATAAAAGAAATCTCTACATATAATAAAAGAAAGAGTCTGTCTGTGTGTGTGTGTGTCAATCGTTCGCGCTGCGCGTAAGCTAATAGACCCACGGCTACGAAATTTGGTACATAGGTGCATTTAGACCAGAGCCAGAGCACCTCGAAGCGATTTTTTCTAAATTAGAATTCGAATTCTTTTTAATTTTATGTTTTGTGAGGAAATCGCGTCATTTTGAGACATAATGGGCTAAAGGAAAGCGAGATTTTACTCTACACACTCCATTTTCACATCATCATGAAACGTAGGCAATTAGCTATTTTACTATCTTAAAATAAATTTTGTGTTTCAATAAATCGATTCAATACGAATTTATTTATCAAAGGGAGTTTAACACCTTTTCAACGGGATTTGTTCTAAAAAAGTTTATTTTTTAAAATATACAGATTATTTTTCTTTGATTTTTGGACACGTTAAACCTTCATCGACTGCTTTTACAAAAAGAATTTTGGAAAAATTATAATATTTTGTATTTAAAAAAAAATATTTTAATTGAAGCTTCCGAGTACACTTTTCACATTTCACATCTTTAAAAATGTGATATTGGTAACAGTTTCCCTGTCTTAGTGTTGTTGATAGATTTTTGATGAAATCTCATCATTTTGAATAGTTTCAGTCTTTTAGAAATATGGGTTTGGCAACAATTTTATCATATTCTTATGTTACTGTTTTAAGAGATTGGATATTTCATTGTCATATATTATATATATAATACATTTTTATTGATTTTTTTGATAAAGTTGTTTGCAGAGTAAATTCTGAGCGGAATTTTATGTTTTTTGAGTGCTTTCATGTTATTTTTTGCTTATTTAACTGTTGTAAGATATTGAAAGTTTTGCATGATTTTTGTTCTTCAACGGAAAGTGGTTAATTTTTATTAGGATAATTAATATTTGTATTAAGGGATATAGCTTATTTCATTGTAATTTTTTTCTCTTTGAAGTATAAGATAAAACATCATTTATTACACTTTGCTTTTCAGAATTTTTTGTTTCTTTTGTATTCTTTTATGTTATTTATTGCACATTTCACTGTTTTAAGATATTAAAAAGTTTTGAGTGATTTTTTTAGGAAACAAAATTCTTAACCTCCTTATACCATTCGAGTTCTAAGATTTTGCAAAGGGAAGTTGGTTAATTTATTTATTAGGATAATTAATATTGTATTAAGGGATACTGCTTATTTCATTGTAATTTCTTATACTAATAACGTTTTTTTATGAGTTGTTCTGCCTGAGTAAAATTCTACGCAGTTTTAAATTAACGTTTGGTGTTCCCTCGCCATTGTCGGTTATTTAAAAGCCAGACAAAGGCTGGCAGCGAAGCTGCTAGTATGTTAATATTTTGAATTATTTAGTATATACAGACCTTAGCAGCTTAAAAAGCTATTACAGTATTATCTGCTGTAAATATACAGTTTCAGGAATGTACCCAAAACTAAATTTTGGAATTAATTTGTGGTGCAATATCCCATTAAATTGCGTGTTATAGTGTTTTGTTTTAGAGTATCCACTTGAGGATCATTTTATGCTTCCGGTTTATCTCATAATCATGGTAATGGCAGCTTCGGCAGCTGATCGAAACCTCTGAACGTTTTCATTAGCTTTTACGTAGCTCACTGATGGTGTACTTTCACTACGACTAAAACGTTTGTCATGGATTTTAAATATAATTCCTGTTATGCAGAAAAAATTTTGTTTTATATTTTTAACTTTAAACTTTGATTCATGGTGCTGGACAAAACTAACTCAAAAATATAATCCAATATCAAATAATTCACATTCAAAATCTAATTCATAATATTCATGTATCATTTCGACATTCTTATAAACATTCGTATAGTGGTAGTACAATTTAACCTTTTAGGTTCGCTTTTTGAGTAACCTATGCAAAAGGAATAACCCCAAATTCAATTAAACTCTATGCTTATTAAAAGCCTTCCGGCTCAAACAAATGGAGGGACATGACAGACCACTGTAAAATATACACAACATTTAATACACAAATGCAATTACATTTTAAACACACATTTATTAAATTCTTGACTAGTTTATATAATTAAATAATGGATAACTGATCAGCAATACATATTTTTCTAAGCAAAATAACGCATAATACTACACCAAATTACAGCTTACATTAATTAATTAACATTATTTTTTCCAATTAAATAGGTGTAAAAATTTTAATCCCCTAAACTGGCATTCACTTGAAAATTATAAATAATTCTCAATTTTTCTAACTGTAATATTTAATTATATAAGCAATAACAATATACAGGTAGATAAATCACTATTAACTGTTCTGCATTCGGGAAAACTAAGAAAGAGAGAGAGAGAATATATATACTTAAAAAAAAATTTCACTCACAGATGGAAAACAGTTTTTTCCTGATTAGCCGGATCCTTAGTGTCCAATCCCATGGAAATAGCCAAGCCCATTTTTCTTTACTGCCATTAGGTGGGAACCAATAGTCCAATTCAGAGGATCTTTTTTCAATTCAATAACAGGTAGCTGAATATCACCAGTTTTTTAGCAATCACGTGCATCATCGAAGCGTCGAGGCAACATTTATGTGAATGTTTTGGAAAAAGGCTCTTGGAGATTAACCGGCGATTCAGGTGAAGAGAGAAAATCTATGCTAAATTTTCTTGGTAGAATTTTTTCTATACATCTCAATCAGCTCTCAGTAAAAATGCCTCTTTGCAGCTCGCGCCACATTTCTTTAGACATCTCGCAAGAAAATGTTCCTTGCATCTCGCACAAAACTTTTAATATCCCGCAGAAAAGAATGAATCCCGCAGAAAAAGAATTCTCTAGAGCGAAGAAAAACGGTACCCAGTCCCTCTTGCCCCGGCAACTCAGCCGCATGACAAGGCCGCAGCAGAGCAAAAGCGCCCCACGATCGCTTTGTTTCTTTTCTTTCACATCGCGGCTGCTCAAAATTCACTCAAATCAGACTTTCCGCTAACAACCATCACCGCAGCCCGCTTGTACAAGTGGCTCGCCCAGCAAAGGGGGAGCCCCGCAAAACTTTCTTTTTCTCCTTTTCCTTTTGGCTCTAAAGTCTGAATCAGAATAATCTCTAGCCTGGTGCAAGCACCCAGGAAATCTTGTTTCTCCGCCTCTGTAGTTCATAGGCTTTCAAAAAATCATAAAATTAAATCTTACAATCCCGGAATTTTATGTTATCTAAATTGAGAAATGACACACCCATGACGAATCAAACACCAGAAAATCTGACAATGCAATCCGAAACATCTGTACTCACAACGTGAGAAAAAAGAATAGACCCCCCCCAACTAACAAGCGAAAAATAAGCTCCACGAGAATCCAATTACCCAAACCCCCAGTGTCTTGAAGTAAGAAAACTGCAAACTTTACAAAGCGACAAGACGAACGATTTCCGTTTCACACGCATTAGCTAAAAGGGCGACACCCCTACCCTACTGCAACCACTGTTGGTAAAACCATAAACCAGATGGCTCCCGCAACCGTTTCCCGCCTTAGTTACAATTCCTACTCAAGAACAACAAGTAAATAACACCTTAAGAGCTTAAGAATACTTTTTTCCAGATTAAAATACACATGAATACAAACAAAAATATTAGAATAATAATGACTTAAAACACATATTAATAATAAATTCGCGACATGACATTCCTAATAAGCTATCGAGCTCAAACTCTGCACACAAACTATTTATGAATGACAATACAGTATGCTGAAGCGATTTGTTAATATATTGAGTGGAATTCCTTTAAAATTTCAAGTTTATATAATTTTTCGCACATATCTTGAATCAGAAGGAGACATTAGTGCGTTAACTAAATTTAATGATTGTTCTGTACCTAACTCTAAGCAGTAGATTTTAATAAATTTGTAGAAGTCGAAGTTAAAATAAATGTTGAGAGTGTTTTTGAAAAAAACAAAAACAACAAATAAAGTGTGCAAATAATAATAATAATGAAAAAAAAAAAAAAAAAAAATCTGAAAGGTTTCAGATTTGAAATTACGGCCAAAGTTGCTTTTTTTTTAACATTTTGTGTGTTACGTTTATTTATTAAATATCATGTTTTTCGCACTTGAACGATAAAATTCAATTCGAGAGCAATATCGCAAAATATTTTTAAATTGAGCGTATCTTTAGAATTTCCGATACAGTCTCGCGCGCTGGAGATAAAAATGTTTTTTTCTGTACAACGTTGCCATGGCTCTCTTTGAATTCCTCGAGTTTGTTAACCAAAAATTCGTTAAAGTTTTACAAAATATGAAATCTATATAAAACAATTCCAAATTTCATTTGGGCTTCCATAGCCTATATTCGCAGTAGATTACGCCTCAAATTTCGATGGCTCTAGGTAACGTTGTTTTATCACAATGCAAAAAACATACATACATTTATGCAGATTCTTCATTATTTAATTTCTTAAAATATAATACAGGGCGATAATACGTTTTGGCAACAGTTTGAAAAGCGAAATGGACATTCAGAGTGATTCGACGCAAAATAGCAAACGAAAACAATAGTCCGTCAGGGACAGAGCTCCTTTGGAATAAGAAATCTGAAAGTTTTCAGATTTTAACGGCCGCCCAAAAGGGTGTGCTAAAGTTTTTTACGCTCTCTCTGAAATCGTACTCTAGCACTCTACTGTTACACACACATACTAAGCCCCCCCAGCATTTTTATTAAGCATAATTTTGTTCACACTTACGGCACATGCAATTCGACAGCAAAATTACAAAAACTTTAAAAGCAACATAACAGTATATGTTCAAAATTCCCGATAGAGCTTTAAGTATTGGCATGCATTTTTCTTCTTTTTTTTTTTTTTTTTTTTTTTTTCAGTCTTTTCTCACTTCACCATATCAATGTTCAGTTTTCTCACTAAGATGGTTTTACGAAAGTTTTATAGTCTTTTTATTACTAACGTTTTGTGTTTACTTAAATGTCACGTTCTTGGCGCTTAGCCACATAAAATTCAATTCAACAGCAAAATCCCAAAACAGTTATAAACAGCATATCTTTAGAATATCCGATAGAAGACTATCGCGCCGAGATAAAAATATTATATTCCTTACAGTGTTGCCACGGCTCGCTTTGTAATCCTTGTGTAAAAAACTAGGTAAATTTTTAAAAGTATGAGATAGATAATAAAACAAATTCGAAATTTAAAATGCGGGCTTTCAGGTACTGATTCTCCGGTAGTGTTCAGGACTACGTTATTCAGAATCAGATGGCTCTAGGTTCCGTTGTTTTTCACAGTGTAAGAAACATATATACATTCATGCAAGATTATTCATTACTTAATTTTTTCAAATGCAATGCAGGGCGATAATATTTGGTGGCAACAATCTGAAAAGTGCTAGAACGCATTTTACTATTTCGGCGGAAAACGCCGTTGCGAGACTAATATCCCATTCGGGACTATCGTTTCTGTTGGATTAAAGATGCAGTACACTGAAATGAGTACAACAAGTGTCTTTAATCATCAACAATGATACGGATTATTAAAAAAAAAAAAAAAAAAAAAAACACCAAAAGCAAGGAAATATGCCCGTTGGTCTACTGAGTATTTGAGCGCGGAAGGGGATGAGAAAATTTCGGAAGATTTTTTACAGCATACTTGTGATACTTCTGCTTACAAATTCGACAATATGTGGCAATCATGTTCAACGGAATGGTATAACCAGTCGCCCACATGCCTAGAAAACGTCCAGTACTTCGGAATATTCTTAAGATAATACATTTTTTATTCCTTTCTTCCACTGTATTCCTGGATACAAATTTCACATAACAGTATTTCCGAAAAAAATGGCACTGATTCTTCAACAGTGTGCTAAATAAACTGACAGACAAAATAATAAAAATGGAGTTTTTAAACATGAGAAATTTGTGACAAATTATATTTGATATTTCAGATTATTCTCGTTGTGGTTTGCGCCCTAATCATGGTAGAAGAACAGATGGAGAAAACACGATTACTGGCGGAGATGCCGCTGAAGCATGGCCTTGGATGGCTGCTGTTTATTTTACGCCAAGAACTGGATTCCCAGTTGTAAGAAAAATTCATTACACATAATTGATACTGTTACATGCTTAATGAATCAACTACATCTCTTGAATATTGTGGTAGGAAAACACGAGGTGACAAAAGTTTTCCTCTTGGAAACATCTTGATATTAAACATGTAAGATTAATTTTGGGAATGCAATATTAACTGAAGTGTTTTAATTGAAAAAGAGAAAATTGAATGAATCCTTCGCCCGGATTTTATCCGCTGTTAAATATGATACTTGCAATTGCTTATTAAGAGCTTTAATTTCACATGTTTTATTTGTCTAATCTTATTTTATTAACTCTCAAATATTGTTTCTTAATCCCGGAAAGGCTTTCCGGTTTTCAGAAACAGACTGAATAATCGTGATGTGTTGTTAAGTAAATTTCTTCTCCAAGTAAGGACTTTTTGTTTTAGGTAGCGTAGTGAACGAATTGTGTTTTGTTAACTTTTGATGCCCGTCGTCTTTCCCGTATTCAAGTAAATCATGAGTTTATTATAAATTGCTAGTGAAAATATTTATTAAGATCCAGAGTATTTTCTGAAATTTTATTATTTTATTATTTGATATTAATAAAAGGATGTCTCATGTCATTTTTAAATTCCTACTATTAGCTCACACTCTCCGTATATCTTGTTCAAATTTTCAATCGTTAATAAAACACTTTTTATTCATCCACTCAAGTTCAAATAAATTTTTTAAACTTCTTGTGGATGACACTTGATCTTAATACAGTGTTTTACATATTAGAGTCAATTCCTACTTATTGATTCCTTTTTATCGGAACTAAAGCTATGCTGTTTTTATGAAATATATTATAAGACTTACAAATAATGGCCGTTTATTAGGAATTCTCACGCGCTGTAAAAATTAATCTTAGAACAACTTATAAATAATGGTACATGACTGCGAAAATGGAATTGTAATATTTAACAAAAATAAGTGGCAACATTAAGGCAGAGTTACAAAGATTTTTAAAGCGTATGGAATTAAAGAACTGTAGTTTTATAAAGTTGGATGAAGCGGAAGTAATGTCCCATTACTGCGCAAAGTAAGTTGTGGATCACTGTAGATTTACGCAGTAAGCATTGTAGCCAACCTAGCAGTGCAGATTATTGTAATGTCCCATTACTTCTCTACGTAATTTGCGGAGCACTGTAGATTATGCAGTAAGTATTGTAGGCATTCTAGCACTGTAGATTATTGTAATGTCCCATCACTTCGAAAAGTAAGTTCCGAAGCAGTGCAGATTATGCCGTAAGCATTATAGCCACTATAGCACTGTAGAGTATTCAGTAATGTATCTAGTACGAAACCTCTTCGCAGCAGGTCAAGCATATATCGCCTTGAGTCGTGTGAAATCATTAGATGGACTGCTCGAAACTCACTAGAATGGTTCCTTGCAATAATGAAACATTACAAGAGATAGAAAGAGTGAGAAATTATAGACCACCACCAGCTAAAACATTAGAAACGAAATAATGTTAATAAAAAAATAAATTAAATAATAAAGTAAAATTTTTCTTTGATGACCCAAGCAGGAATTGACTTAATTTTTTTTTATGTTACTTTTTGTTAAAAAAAATTAATTATTCACGTGAAAGTGGATTTTCGGAGCGATTTCAGACTTTCTTCTATCTACTTGTATTAAATATCTTGCACATCAACAGTATCTGTAATTACAATTTTCTTTATTTAGATGCACTGCAGTGGATCCATCATCCACGATCTTTACATATTGACAAATGCTGATTGCGTCGACTACATTTTCAAAGAAAGAAAAAAAGATACCCCAATCACTGTTCATTTAGGTAAGAAATTCTTTTACATACATATGTAGAGTCATTGCAAATTCAACTGCACCTTTGCCTTGAATTAAATCCGAGTCTTTCAGCTGCGAATTGTGAGTACTCATTGCTGCACCACAAGTACCTCGTATAAATGAGGAAAATATCTCTAATTCCTTCTCCCTTCTCCACCATTCAAACAACGACTAGCTAGAATAAGTAACAGCATGAGGGCCAATCGACCTGATAAGAGTTTATCGTTATACGTGGATACTTTTAGTGTGGGTCAGGAGGACAAGGATACAGGTTTGAATGTGGGAGTTCTTCAAGCCGTCAATAAGTTTGGCGACAGCTTCAGAAACCTTGTCATCAGTTCATTGTTCGAAAGCAGAAACTTTCTCTTCGATTTGTTGTTGAACGGAAGATACTCTTTTTCTTTAATTTGTTGTTCGGTAGCAGATTTTTTTTTATTACAGCAGAAATGTCTCGTTTCATTTCCTCCTGAGATGCTTCAATCTTTTTCTTGGCCCATTTTCATCTCTTCATCCACAGACTTGACAGCGCCTTCTATTTTCTTGAAGTGCATCAAAGGCAATCACCGCTTGTCTTAGTGCTCCTTCCTCCATCGCTCTTGTCAGCGGAATTCATTCCTAACCTGACACCCAAAACTGTTACGTGCGTAGGAGTTAGTAATGGATTGAATGTATACAGAATTGAAGACAGTTTGGTAAAATTTATTTTCCCAAAAGAAGTATGTAACAATTCTGTAACTTCCATAAATGTACTCCTGCAGCTCTTCTTATTATGACACAGCATAGTCAGTAGTTACCACTTCAAACTACTAAGAACGTTAAACACGAACCAAAACGCAACTAAAGAGCAAAGCTTGGACGGAGATCTTTCAATACTCTAAAGTTAATTTTGAAATAAACAACTTAGAACTGATGCTCTTCCCGGTCTTACATGATTTTCTCCCGGCCACCGAAGAATTTCGAGTACGGAAGGTATATTCTGGTTTAAATACACATAAAGGCTGGATATCGTTACAGTTACCTACAGGGATCAATTAAAATCATTTAGTTACAGTACTACACTTTTACAGAGACCGGATCAAAATGTCACCAAATGATTGCCAAGTTTGGAAGATTTGTTGATTTCTTATCAAATTTGACGACAAAAATGAGTCGCGAAAACCATCGCTTACCGACTTGTAGAGACATTAGGTATTTTGAAGCAAGAGTACATAAAAAATGAGGACACGAACCTCGCCAGGACATGAATCTCGGACCTCTCGAATACGCGCAGTGTGTGCTGACCATTACACCACGAAGGCATGCTAAGAAGGCGGGAGTAATACTTTATATACTTCCCCTTTTAAGGGCGACTAGGGATTAGAGGGCCCAATCGCCAAATCTTGGTGGTGAAGAATGATTATCCACCAGCCTTTTTAATTCGGGCACTACTGTAGAGACATTAAGTATTTTTGAAGCTGGTCACATGAAAAATGAGCAATGCCTTCGCCGGTACTCGAACCTCGGACCTCTCGAATACGCGCCGAGTTTGCTGACCATTACATTACGAAGGCATACTAAGAAGGCGGGTGTAATACCTTACAGACTTGTCCCTGTAGTCCTATTCCTCCGGCGAAGCTTTGCTTTCTTAAACGTTCATGTTACGTTACAAAAAATTCGTAGTAATGGTTTCTTAATCTGAAGTATACCTGACGCATTTTTTTCATAAGAAGTTAACTATGCGGAAAGCAATGTCGCCATTCGCGTAATGTATTAGCCCTCGCGTTCGGCAAAGATTTATTGTATTTTAAAGCTATATTACTGTTTTTAATAATAAACATTATTATATTGTCATATATGTTGTTGCGTGCGTACGGGTTCGTAATCGATTGAATGCACACTGGTCCGATGAGAGGTTAAGAAAACTTGTTTTTATCAAAGTAAATACTTCAAATTTCTGGAATTTTCCCCAGACATATTCGTAAAGGTGTCCACAGTGTGCCCCAGTACAATCACTAGTTATGCTTCAAACTACTAACAAATATAAGTCAAAGAAAAGAGAAAGAACTAATATAAAGTCGGATATATCTCAATTCACGTGAAACTAACAAATCGCAAAAACAATAAATAAGTAACCAAGAGCAGAAGCTCTTTCATCGGCCTTAAATACTTTTCAATCTGCCGCAGAGATATTTATAGTATTTGCCGTTTCTCGAAATTACGAGAAAGCAATACCAGGGTTGAATTACGGTTACAGGTAACATAGTGGTTCTTTTATTCAATTTCAATACATATTAGGGTGATACAAAGACCAGACCAAAATGTCGCCAAGTGGTCGCCAAAGTCGGAAACTTTTGGCGATTTCTCACCAAATTAACGAGATACCCATTTACTCAATTTTAAATGCACTTTCTATGTAATTGCCAACTTCCTCCTGTGTTTCTTGATCAAAAAGTGCATTTTCAGTAAAAACAGTGAGAAAAGTAAGTACTCATTTGCTCGCAAATTTCTTCATCCTTATGTATAAGAGTATTCTGAGCATGTATGGTACCTATTTTATTAGGTGTGGCTCTGATGGCTTTGGCGAGAGACCAAACTGCGTTAGGTTGATGGTTGATGTTGGCAATATTAAAATTCCATTTATAATTGCTATAGTTATGAATGAGAAGCCTGATTTCTTTATTAATTTTATTGAGTTCCCTCTTGTCACAAGGGTCAAGGTAGCTCTGATAGCTTTTTATGATCCTATTTCTTTGCTTAATTTTGGTGCTGATGTTGTCTGGTAAGGAATGATGAGCAGAGATATTCCTGAATTTAGTAGAATATTTAATAGCATCTTGGATATCTTGAGTAATGTTATGTATATTATTATCAATTGTAGTAGTGCTACAGTTATTTTCTAGGATCGGATTCTTTTGATGAAGATAGTTTCTATAGTAATTCCAGTTGATAAGTATGTTGCTTGGAGGAAGATTAATAGGATAGTTGTGCATTGTAAAGGTGATAGGAAGATGATCAGAATCCACATCGTTGATGACATGTAGGTGAGGTGAAATGTTACAATTTTTGATGAGTAAAATATCAAGAATGACTCTGGTGCTATTAGTCGCTGTATGCATAGGTTCATCTGAGGCAAACAAGTTGATAGCATACCGAGAGATGTAGTAGAGAAGTGCATTGCCATTAGGATTTGTGTTTCTTCAGTTTCAGCTGGCATGCTTTGCATTTAAGTCTCCCATGACGAGCGTAGGATAAAGGTGATTGAGTAATTGATTAATTTAGTAGTGAGGAGAGAATTTCTGGATGGATTATAAGCAAATATGATACGCATATGTTTGCTATGAGTACGACTGCTGTAGATAAGGGTACCAGTGGCCTCTAAATTGCCTGCATTGATCAGAGGATACTGCGAGTGTTGAGTATGCATTTTAATAATTATAGGAGTACCACCTCCACTATTGTGGGATCTGTCAGTGTGTATAATGTTGTAGTTGGCAATTTTGAATTTTGCTGATGCATTTAGATGCGTTTCGTTAATACACATAATACCACTAAGATTGCTAAGTAGAAAGTTTTGAAGTTGATCCTTTTGTTTTTTAATACCATTAGCGTTGAAAAAGGCGACTCTAGTGAAGGACCGAGAGACACGAGTTGGTTAAATGGGTAGTCGGTGGTTTATTGAATGGATTCATTGGCAAAGAATTCTTAACTTTGAAGCCAGCCTCCTTTTTTTTTTCAATGCTAGTTTTTGCGTTATTGAAATTCTGTAAGAACTGCTTTGATGTTTCGGTAGAAGCTTTATCCAGTTGATTACATCATTGTAGTTTTGGGTTTCTTTTTGCTTATTAGAAGTTACGCCGGCGGATTTGTTTGCAGGATTTTTATCAAGATGAGCTGTAGTAGCATTGGCAGTTGGGTTTGTATTGATATTAGAAGCATTTGGTTGAGGGACGGTCCACGTTTGCCGATTGGCGGGAAATCGTTGTGTCCATGCATTCTGATTTATTGGTAGTATTATCAGGTTCAGTGTTTCTCCTTACTTGCTTTGGGAACATTCAAGAACCTGACTCGGAACAGGGAGCTTACTAAAGCTATGTTCAATAAATGTGGGGAGTAGACAAGATACACAGGAAGGGTATACGAAACCCTTTATTTTTCACTCTTTACAATGATTTCCGGACTTCGGAATACAGAGACCAACCACTTGTGGTCTGAACGTAAGAATATAAAAATATTAACTAAACTCTAACTTAACTTTGGAGTAACAAACAAGGGCCTCCGAGAAGATTGGCCGTATATTAACAGGGAGCCGTATGTAGTACAGAGAACTGTTAACACTACAATACGTTTAAAATTATCAAGAGGATTAAACCTCTGGCCTTGAAGGCAACCAGCAACCGAGTAAAAACTGCTAAGGCAAGCGGCCTGCTTCTACTAACTCCTTCCTCTCTCTTGCTTGGCAAAAAGCCACAACTTAAGTACTTGGCGTTCGCCAGACAAATTTGCATAAATAAGTTAAAGCTTTTAATTCTGGCCGGAAGTAGAAAATAAGAAGTGATAGTAAAGATTTAAAATTAAATAAACGTGAGTAAAACTTAAGATCCTTACAGTATCTGTTGCTCATTCCCATTGCAGTTTGCACTTTTTTGCTTTTTATCTTCTTTCTTTAGAGTACATTGATAGGAGAAGTGATTTTGTCCTCATTTAAGGCATCTTGCCGGGTTATCGCATGACTCTTGATTGTGACCAAATCTTTGACAGCGAAAGCATTGTCCATAGGTACATACTTTTTAATTTCAACACGAAGTCCACAGAGTAACTTCTACGGTAAAGATAGATAAAGGGATGATTTCACCATCAACAAATCGGCGCATTTGGCGGATATTTGAGTGAGAGATATTAAGTTTCTTTAATTCTTCGTCAATTTCTTCTATTTCGACAAGTAGTGCTTCTATTTCTTAGCAATCATATATAATATCAGTATGATTGCTAGATAGAAGATCATCAGGAACTCAGGATCATCATTATCCAAGAGCCAGGCATTCCTGCGTTCATTCTACGATCTTCATTGACTATTCGTGAGTATATTTTAGCATATTGTGACTCTTTGGCATGATACTTCATATCACGTGATTACTTTGCATTCATTATGGGAAGGAGCATGCGAATTACTGCTTTGATAGTAAATTCGTTTTGAAGCTTGTATGTATGAAAAGGAACTTTGGTGTCTTTTAGATGGCGTTGAGCAGTACAGAAATCTTCTTCAGATTAAAGTCTAATGTGAATTTCTCAATAATCGAAGGTATCTTATTTCTTTTAGGTATTTGTGGATTTGGTTTGATGGCAGAGTTTCTTTTGCTAGGAGTAGCAGCTTTGCTTTGAGTTTTATTTTTGGTTTATGTGGTAGGCTAGTTGATTGAGCTTTCGTTATCATTTAAAGATACGTTATCCTCCACAGTGGGTGCTGTATTTAAGTAATCTTCTAACTGCAGTTGTTCAAATTGGTTAGAGGTATTGAGATAGCTGGGATAGTTTGGCGATGGGTGGATCTTAATTGGCGATTTGTCGTCCAGATTTTTTTAACAGATTTTTTAATGGGTATTGTGTTCCATTTGTCACTAGTGATTGGAGTTAGCTTAGGAAATTCGGTGTCGTGATTTGAGTGTGTAGCATTAGCAAGAATGTTTGCTGTACTGGCAGAAATTGAGGTATGTGTAGCAGTGGAATGAGCATTTTCATACTCATCAAGGAAGTCATCCTTGATAGTGGCGAACCATTCGGGTGTTTTTTTTTTTTTTTTTTTTTTTTTTTTTGTTTGTTTTTGAGAGGCGATCTTTGCCTCGTCGAAGCATAATGAATGTGAAGTAATCACGTAGTATCATGCTGGAGAGTCACAATAAATCAATGAAGATCGTAGAATGAAAGCAAAAATGCCTGGCGCTTGGATAATGATGATTCATTGTTCCTGATGATCTTGAAGTACTCTAGGTTAGGGGGAGCAGCATCCTGCGCAGTTAGGCCTAGCAAGCCCGATTCAGTATAATCTTCAATATGCTCAAAAATCATAAAATAAAATAATTGGCATAAAATAAATTCTTCTTGTGATACGTACAGAACACAAAAACACTCACAGAACAGCACAAAATTTCATGTTTAACCGCACAATAACCAAAAATAAGCACAAAATTCGAGAGCTCCAAATCCACGCTACATCAATGGCGCCGGGCATGCGCAGTTCCTGATAGAAGCCGACGTAAGAAAAGTGACAGTAAAGCAATAATAATAAAAAAAAACTGGTTAATAAATATAAACTCTAAAAAAGTTCTAAGTTGTAGCTAAAATGGCCCGCAGAAATAAGAGAATCTTCATTAGATTTAATTCTTGTACTGGTTAAGAGAATAAATTTCATCTTTCATGCCCAGTGAGTAAGTGTTGCTAAATTAAAATTTTTCAGGTCTGACGGATATTGAGAGCAGACTTTATGAGGAAGTGATTGATGTCAAGAAATTGTATATTCACGAAAAACACCGCAACGACGGGAATTATGATTATGATATCGCTCTCCTGAAGTTAGGGAGATCCATTGTATACAATGACTTTGTAAGGCCTATCTGTCTGCCCCCAACAAGTATGTATAATCCTATTCTTATGTAGTGTTGTATTCTATTCTTATGCATACATGTATTAATGCATACAATTTATAATAGCATTTCTTTGGCAGTTTTCTTGAATCAATCGATCTCTAAAAAGCTTTCTTCTAAGAAAAAACATTCAGAATCTGAATAAGTAACAAACTTAAGAGAGCAGTAAATTTAATAGTCACTAAATAGACAAATAATTAAACTGAGGATTTTCAACAATAGATTGCTAAAGTTAATTATTTTCGATTCGACAATGCGATATTTACTATCAGTCGATTATAATCTCGTTTGTGCTATGTCTAGAGCTTAATTTCTAAAATTAGAAACACCAGAGTCCTAAAGAAATTCGTCAGAAAAAGTGCTGAAATCTTTCAGATTTTATATTACGCCCAAAGGGGCATTTTTGTTTCATTTACACATACTACGCGTTTCGGGAGTAATTGCTTTTGGGCTTAAAATATTTAAAAACGGCATATCTTTAGAATTTTCGATAGACAGTATCGCCCGCTGGAGGTAAATTTTATTCCGCACAGCTTACATTGAAATCATTGAGTTTCTTAATCAAAAGTTCGCAAAAGCTTAAAAAATATCAGCCAGATAATAAAACAAATTCGAAATTCAAGATTCGGGCTTCCAGGTGAACATGTCCGCGTGGAAGACTACATTTTTCAGAATTTGACGGCTCTAGGTATCGTTGTTTTTTCACAATGTGAGAAACATACGTACTACATTAATGCAGATTCTTCCTTATTTAATGTCCTTAAATATAAAAGGGCGATAATATTTCATGGCCACAATTTGAAAAGTAATATAGCGGTATATAGTGATTCGATTTAAAATGCCGTTTTGAGACTAATAGCCTTTCTGCACTAACGCTCCTTTGAGCTAATAAATAAAATAATTAATAATTAAAATTAAAATTGAATAAAATATAAACAGGCAAATAAAATTTTTATAAATTATTGAATTAATGAGAAATAATTGAATAACAAAATAAAATACTGTACTTCGACATGTTTGGGATTCCGGCTAGAATTACTGTTTCACAAACTAAAATGTTGCTTAAATGAGTTCCGGCTGAATTTAAAACCTGAACATGCAGCATAATGTATTATTTCAGAGGATGAAAGAAACAAAGACCATTACTTTTCAGGCGCACCAATGAAAAAGAATAAACCGTTAAAGCTTCTCTGCTGAGAATAGAGAGAATGCTAGAAACAATGTGAGAGTACAGAAGGAAGTTTTAATGGAGATATGTTGATATCAAAACGAAAAGTCCACCACTTTTAGGTCACGATGTTTTGCCTTTATGATTCTAACCCGCAAGTAGACTGTGTCAGGAAAATAAGGATCGATTTTTAATGTTTATTTATTATCAAAATAAAATTTTTGAAATACAAATTATTTTCTGCTGAAATTATTGTTCGATTATTTAAAAGAAGTGCGAGGACTTCTGTGTGCACCAGCTAGAATTACGATCTACGCTAACCTGCATTGAGTATGCAACACTAAGAAGGTGTGGTCCGAAAATTGTGCAAATTTCAGGGTAGACGCACGTCATTAGGTTATGGTAATGATGTGAAATGCGAAGCTCTCCAGCGCCTGTTGAAGAAGATATAAGGGAAAGAACCTACAGAATGTTAAATTTTCGTGCCGTTATTTCTGCTAAGGAAATCATCGTAGAAAATTTGTTCTTATCTGAACGCGTGTAATAGCAGATAATGCCAGCCGTCAGTTTAGATGAACTCTCTTCGCAGAAAACTGGAACCCGTGCGGGAACGCTATTCCGGAGTAACAGGTTGGCTATTTTCTAACGAAATGGTAGCCGTCGTCAACGGAGGCAATTTCAGCAGACAGACGATTTTACGAGAATCATGGTGATCGGATTGAGAAGGGCAGGTTGGTACATGCAACAAATATCAGCTGACACACACCTGGATGCGTCCACAGCGCACCAGCTGTGGCGACGATGGCTGGAACAAGGAATGTTGCAAGATCAAGGTGTGCCGGTACAGCCAGAACGACGTTAACACGCCTGGATCGACGCATCCGCCGAGTTCCACAGTTGCTGCCGAATTGGATCTGTCTCCACATCGATGCCATATTCGTACATGTCGACTAGCATTGGAGAAACAGAAGCGTGACGCATCTGAGAACATCACCCTGTGCCATTCCGTCGTCCACATTGCTCGCGCCCGGAACCGTTGCATACACCCGTAAACCACTTCTTTCACCAAGCGGAAGGAACACCCGTAAACCACTTTTACATCTATTCTGTAGCATGTTCAAGACACCCTGGATGTCCCATATTGAATATTTACCATCGATTGGTGGCTAATTGCGCCCGTGAAGCGTATGCAATGCTGCCGGGCGCGAGCGATGTGGACGTAGGAATGGCACAGGGTCATGTTATCAGATGAGTCACGCTTCTGTTTCTCCAATGATAGTCGCTACTTACGAATATGGCATCGATGTGGAGACAGATCCAATTCGGCAGCAACTGTGGAACGCCCCACTGCGCGACAATATGGCATCACGGTTTGGAGTGCAATTGCGTAAGACTCCTGGTCACTCCTGGTCACAGTTCGTATTCAGGGCATTATGGTGGCCCAACGATACGTGGATGATGTGCTGCGGCCGGTGACACTCACTTCGGGAAATGCCCAGTGCCCTTTATCCGGCAGGATAAGGCTCGATCACACACTGCTCGTATTATCCAAGCTCGCATAAGGTGTACAGATGCTTCCCTGGCCACAGTTCGAACTTATTTAAAATATTCCAGAACTATTTTTCCAATAGAAAGAGCATAATAATAACCAACAGCAGAACCATCGAGAGAAACCGAAAAAGATTCCGTCCGTAAGGCTCTTGTCTTAGATCTGCGTTCTGGAATATAGCATTTAACAAAATAGTTCAACATCACTGCCCAGACCACACAGAGTGCGTTGCATTTGCTGATGATGCAGCCTTTGTAATCAGTGGACGCTCTAAACAAGTATTAGAGGCCAATGTTAATACCACTTTGAAAATTTCAACGAACTTTGCAAGCACCAAAAACTAACAATATCTCATGAAAAATCTCAATCCGTGATATTTCATATGCCTTGTCAAAAAATAACCAGATTACCGAAATTCCACATTGACAACAACAAAATCAAAATAGTCAAATCCTTAAGATATCTTGGGATTACAATAGATAATAAACTTAACTTCACTGAGCATCTACAGCAAATTGAGAAGAAAATCTCAAGTATAGCTAACAACCTGAAACAAATGCAAGCTATCGGATGAGGCTTAAACTCCAAGATACAAAAGCTGTTGTATAACACTGATATAGGAAACATAGCACTGTATTGTGCAGCGATATGGGCATCACCTGTTGAATATGTGATACTTCGGCCTGTGCGTGCCCATGACAGATTGAACTGATTACGTAAGTTTTAACCGCGCGCTCAACGATTTATGATGTAATCAGTGTTCTATTTTTAGTTTAGTTTATTTTTGAATGCCTTAGAAAATGGATGCGTAGTTTTTGATCACTTGTAATAACCATAACCTCTCTTTTATAACTTGTGTACAAATTAAAGTTTTAAAAAGCTGAACCTGTGCGTGTTTTTTTTTTTTTTTTTGGATATACCTGAATGAAGAACCCGGTGATTCAGGTAAGTGCTATATTGCTTATCTACTGTTGGAATGCTTTACGCATTGATTAATATTGTCTATTGAATTGAGGCAATATTAATTTTGGCATCCCGTGCCGAGACAAAAGCGAATTAAACGCAGACTGATATTAATGATTTTATGTATTTTAAATTTGAAAAGCACTAATTGAATTCTTTAAGATTTTACATGTTATATGCTCGATTCAGTAAACATGTCAGTAGAAGATATTACTAAAGAAAAGGAGAGGTGGTTTGAGAACATCCATTACCAGAATTCTTAAGAAAATAGAATTAGAACTAGATAAGTCTTCTGTTTATATAAATTTGTTAGAAGAAGACTTAGAACTCTTAAACGATAAGTTTCAATCCCTTAAGATAGCTGATTCTGAAATCGAAAGTACTTTGAAACCAGAAGAATCTAATTCTCAAATAGTTAATGATTCATCGAAACGGAACTTTAAGCTTCCTAAAATAGAATTTAAGTTGTTCGGCTGTGATATCAAAGAATGGTTGTCATTTTGGGCACAATATGAGAAGATACACAACGATAATGAAATCGCGAAGGAGGATAAATATCAGTATTTATTAAAAGCTACATTAAAGGGTTCTAGAGCGCGAGAACTTGTTAATTCATTTCCGGCCACAGCTGATAGTTTGGAAACGTAATAGAGCGTTTAAAGGCGAGAGCTGGCCGAACTGACATGTTAATTGAAGTCTATATTAGAGAAGTTCTTTCATTGATGATGAATAATGCAATCGGTAAAGGCCCTAAAATGCCTCTTTTTAAACTTTACAATAAGAATGAAACTTATTTAAGTCTTTAAATATGTTAGGTGTTTCCAGCGCAAATTATTCTTCAATATTGTATCCGTTGATTGAATCTTGTTTGCCTGTCGACATATTGACAGTTTGGGAAAGAAATTTGAATTCCATATCCCTAACATCTAAAGAAGAAACTGTTGATAAGTTAGATAACCTAATGAAATTTTTATGTCACGAGATTGAAAGCGAAGAGAAAGTGCGTCTAGCATGGATCGGATTTAACCATGAATCGAAAGCAAAATTATTTCACCCGCGTCAGCACGACGGGAAGGATTTACTCCGACAGCTGCAGAGTTATGTAACGCTTCGGATATTAAAAAGGAAACTTGTGCATTTTGTAACAAAGCACATATGAGTAGACAATGTAGGTATGCTGATAATTTGCCTTATGAAGAGAAAAAAACAAATGTTGTTAAAAGGGGTACATGTTTCAGATGTTTAACAATAAGAAAGCATATTTCCCGATTTTGTAAAATGAAAGTACCACCATGTGAGATTTTCGG